TGGAACTACAGGCGCGCGCTACCATGCCCGGCTAATTTTTGATTTATTGTAGAGATGAGGTCTCGCCAAGTTGCCCAGGTGGGTCTGGAACCCACGGACTCGGGCAATCCACTCACCTCAACCTCCCAAAGTGCGGGATTACAGGTTGAGCCACCGAGCCTGGCTGTGTTTTTTACTTCGGAAGAAGTTTTGGTGGGTAGTTGGGTCCTTGGGAGAGTTGAGAGCAGATGAGATAGAGTTGGAAATGGTGGGCCTCTAATGCCTGGCTTTTCTGGCTTCAGGATCCAAGCAGTACAGTGCAGCCATTGCCTTCACCCTGGCCCTCTTCTCCCACCTCGTCAATCATGTCAACATACGGCTGCAGGCTGAGCTGGAGGAGGGCGAGAACCCTGTCCCGTCATTCCAGAGCGATGGCACAGGTGGGAGAACGGGGAGGTTGTGGCTGTGGAAAGGTCGGCGTGGAGCGTGGGGAGCAGGGAAAGGAACACAGACTTGGGGGTGGGATGTTGGAGAGCAGGGAAAGGAACACAGACTTGCGGGGGGATGTTGGAGAGCTGTTCCCTGGGCTGCCCCTGGCCATCCTCTTTCCACAGATGAACCAGACTCCTCCAAGGAGCCTCTGGAGAAGGAGGAAGAGCCAGATCCCGAGCCTCCCTCTGCAGCACCCCTGGCATGTGAGGGCAGAAAGAGCCGGAAGTTTTCCCGCCTCTCCTGCCTCCGCCGCCGCCGCCACCCGCCCAAAGCTGGAGATGACAGCGACCTAAGTGAAGGTTTTGAATCAGACTCGAGCCATGACTCGGCCCGGGCCAGCGAGGGCTCAGACAGTGGCTCCGACAAGAGTCTTGAAGGTGGGGAAACAGCCTTTGATGCTGAGACGGACTCAGAAATGAACAGCCAGGAATCCCGATCAGACCTGGAAGATATGGAAGAAGATGAGGGGACACGGTCTCCAGCCCTGGAGCACCCTCGGGCAAGATCAGAGGCTCCTGATTCCCTCAATGGGCCACTAGGCCCCAGTGAGGCTAGCATTGCCAGCAATCTACAAGCCATGTCCACCCAGATGTTCCAGACCAAACGCTGCTTCCGACTGGCCCCCACCTTCAGCAACCTGCTCCTTCAGCCTAGCACTGAGGCTCACACCTTACCCTGCCACAGGCCTTGTGTCAATGGGGATGTCGACAAGCCCTCAGAACCAGGTATCTGGGCCTCCGTCATCTGTTCTGTCCATTCCTCTGTGTGAGTGACTTCTCGTTGCTGCCCTGACTGCCTCCTACCCAGCCCTCTGCTTGTTGTATAGCCCACACGTTTTTTCCTGATGATCCACTCTCCTCACTTCTTCACTACCAGCTCTCAGCCAACCCACTTCTTGGTCTCATTTCTCTCCCACTCCACCCTGCCCTGTGGGTGTGGGGCTTTTCTCTCCACCCTGCAATTGTAGCTGCAGCTCCCTCCCCTGGTGCCATCCCAGGTCCCTCCAGGGCTCCGGGAAGCTAGAAAAACCAGCACCCACCAGGGTAGGTGAATTCTTTCCTTGGGTCTTCCCTGCAGAGGGAGTCCCCATTTAGTAGCAACAGCCATTTGTTAAGCCAACCCTATGCCAGGCACTAGGCTGTCCAGTTCTCAGTATCGTCTTATTTAACGTTCTTAGTAGTCTTGTGGTAGAAGAGTTATTCCTACTTTAAATCTTGTCTATCTTGCTTTTTTACCCCAAAACTTTTTTTTTGTTGAGTCAGAGTCTCACTCCATCGCCCAGGTTGGAGTACAGTGGCACACTCACGGCCACCTCAGCATTGACCTGCTGGGCTCCGGCGATCCTTCTGCCTCAGCCTTCCAAGTAGCCGGAACTACAGGTGTGTGCCACCATGCCTGGCTACAGGTGTGCTCCAGCATGCCCAGCTACTTTTTTGGTTTATTTTAGAGACGAGACACTGTGTTGCTCAGGCTGGTCTTAAACCCCTGGGCTTAGGCAATCCTCGCCTCAGCCTCCCAAAGTGCTGGGATTACAGGTGTGAGCCACTGCGCCTGGCTTTACCCCAGAATTTTGTACATGGCACTCCCTCTGTCTGGAACATGCTTTTCCTCCCTTGCTCTGAGCCTGTCACTGGCTAATTCTTACTTGCCCCCTAGATTTCAGCTTGAAAATCCCTTGGTCTGGGGCTCCTTCAAGGCCAGGTTAGATTTGCTTCATGTGACTCCTGCAGCTCTGCAGCCTCCAGCTCTTTCCTGCTCTGGTGAGGTTGACTGTCGACTCGTCTGCCTTCCCAACTAGACTGTGAGCTTCTTGAGAGCAAGACAAGAATACATCTTGTCTCTTGCTGTATCTGTAGTACCCAGAACAGTACCTAGCACTTGGGTGGGACTTAGTAAATATTAAATGGCTGAATGAGTAAAAGCAGTGAGGAAGCTGATGATCAGAGAGGTGAAGGGACCTGCCGGATGTTCTAACTTACAAGGTGGAAGAGCTAGGAGTTGAAAGTAATTCTTTTTGGCCGGGCTCAGCCTATAATCCCAGCACTTTGGGAGGCCGAGGTGAGTGGATTGCCTGAGCCCGTGGGTTCAAGATCGGCCCAGGCACCTTGGCAAGATATCGTCTCTACAATAAAATCAAGAAATTAGCTGGATGTGGTAGCTCACACCTGTTGTTACGGCTACTTGGAAGGCTGAGGCGGAAGGATCACCGGAGCCCAGCAGGTCGACGCTGGGGTGGCCATGAGTGTGCCACTGCATTCCAGCCTGGGTGACAAAGTGAAACTCCAACTCACACACATATACACACACACACAAAAAGAAAGTAATTCTTTTTAACTCTGTGTCCTGGCTTTCTCCCTGTCTGCCCTGCCTTCCAGCACAGAGTAAGCATCTCTTAAATACTGGTTGGGTGAATAGCTGTAGACCAACCTCACAAATTAGCTTGCGTGTGAAAGTGTCATATTTAAAAAGCACCATGTATATTTTTTTTACTTCGAAACTTATTATAAAGCTACAGTAACCAAATCAACATTGTACTGATACATAAACAGACACATAGACCCATGGAACAGAACAGCAAGCCCAGAAATCAATTCACACACAGTCACCTGATCTTCAACAAAGGCATAAAAGACACCATATTTTGAAACAACCAGTTCGTGGGCCTGGAAACATTGGAGAAGGGCCTGTCAGTGAATTCCCCACCTCTTTCTGATGATCAGAATTCCTCTGGAGCCCGGGAAGCGGGGTGGCACGATCCCCCCATGCAGCGCTGAGGCCTGTTGCCAAGTGCCTATTAGTTGTTTATCCCAGTTCTCTCTCCTCCACTCACCCATTCCAGCCTCTGAGGAGGGCTCTGAGTCAGAGGGGAGCGAATCCAGCGGGCGCTCCTGTCGGAACGAGCGCAGCATCCAGGAGAAGTTGCAGGTCCTCGTGGCCGAAGGCCTGCTTCCTGCGGTGAAAGTCTTCCTGGACTGGCTTCGGACCAATCCTGACCTCATCATCGTGTGTGCTCAGGTATGTTGGTCCTCCCCACTGCTTCTGTCAGGCTGCAGGGTGTTGGAGGAGGGGATGAGCTAGGGGCCTGGGCATCCCCTCAGATGGTCTGATCAAGACAAGAATTGTCACCAAGTCCACCTGCCTGTGCTGGGCATTTACACTTCCTTTTTTTTTGAGCTTGTCTCTCTGTTGCCCAGGCTGGAGTATAGTGGCATGATCACGGCTCACCAAAGCCTCAGCCTCCTGGGCTCAGGCAGTTCTTCTGCCTCTTCCTTACAAGTAGCTGGACTATTGACATACGCTACCATGCCCGACTAATTTTTTTTTACAGAAATGAGGTCGTACTATGTTGCCCAGGCTGGTCTTGAACTCCTGGGCTCAAGTAACCCCCCCTGCCTCGGCCTCACAAAGTGTTGGGATTATAGGCATGAGCACCCTTATGCTTTTTACAGGGAAGGAAGGATTTGGCATGACCTTTGCCCTCAAAGAGCCTATGGCTGCAAAGTGGTGAAAGAGCTGCTTTTCTGCTTTGTATCCTCAATGCCAGGCACAATGCTGACCATTATGAGTAATGAAACACATGAAAATATGTGTTCGAAAGCTAAACTTAATGGGTAAATACCAGAGAATCCAGAGAAGAGAGAGTGAGTTGAGTGGTAACAGTGACAGATGAGATGATTGTGAAGGTGTTCTGGGCAGGGGAAATGACTTACGAAGAGTCATACAGCAGGGCAAGCTGTGTCAGGCTGTGTGCCAAGGAGGTGGGGTGGATCCGTTGCGGTTGTCCCCTCCTTCTCAGGTTCAGAGTCTCAGTCTTGTGCCTCTGGTTCTCTGAGGCTTTTATGCAGTGTCATTTGCTTCCAGTGGTACACCTGCCTGCCGTGACAGACCCTCGTCCTCACTGGTCACCCCCTTCCCCATATGAGAGGGTTTGGGTCAGGGTCCGGCACACTCTTGGGTGTGTGCTTGTGTCTGGTGGCAGCTAGTTACTCAATCATTAGTCATTGAGGGTAGTGAAGATGGAGATGCTGGGCCATGTTCCTGGAAAGGTATCCCAGTGTGGGCACATGGGAGGGCTGGAAGGAAAGGTTTCTGCTGGACAAAGCTCCGTAGTCCCCCTTCATTCATCACTGGACCAAGTCCTCCATGAGCCCTGTGTCCTCTTTTTTTTTTTTTTTGAGTTGGAGTCTCACTCTGTCACCCAGACTAGAGTGCAGTGGCCGCTCCCGGCCACCGCAGCCTCGACCTGCTGGGCTCCGGCGATCCTTCCACCTCAGACTTCCGAGTAGCCGGAATTACAGGCGTGCGCTACCACTCCCGGCTGATTTTTGGATTTCTTGTAGAGATGTGGTCTCGCTGCCCGGGCGGGTCTCGAACCCGCGGGCTCAGGCAATCCACTCACCTCAGCCTCCCAAAGGCGCGGGATTACAGGCTGAGCCACCGAACCCGGCTCCCCTGTGTCCTCTTTAAGAAATGTTGTCCAGACTGGAGTGCAGTGGTGCAATCATAGTTCGTTGCAGCCTCAAACTCCTGGACTCAAGGGAGCCTCTTGCCTCTTGCCTCAACCTCCTGAGCTGGGACTATAGGCATGTACTACCATGCCTGGTTAATTTTGTTGTTGTTGTTAGCATCTCACTCTTGCCCAGGCTGGAATGCAGTGGCATGATCATGGCTCACCAAAACCTCCAACTCCTGGGCTCAAGTGATCTTTCTGGGCTGGGCACGGTGGCTCACTTTGGGAGGCGGAGGCAAGAGGATTGCCCGAGTCCAGAGATTTGAGACCAGCCTGGGCAACTTGGCGAGAGCTCATCTCTACAGTAATCCAAAAAATTAGCCCAACATGGTGATGTGCGCCTATAGTTTCAGCTACTTGCAGGCTGAGATGGATCACCTGAGCCCAGAAGGTCGAGGTTGCAGTGGCCATGAGCATGTGACTACACTCTAGCCTAGGCGACAGAGTGAGACTCCTACTCAAAAAAAATGTAGCCAGCTCGGTGGCTCAGCCTGTAATCCCTTGCCTTTGGGAGGCTGAGGTGAGTGGATTGCCT